CGCGGACTCCGCAACAAGCGAATATAACTAGGTGTTCTGGATTCTGCAACTGTACGTGGATTCCACAAAAAGTAAGTGGAATCCGCAAAATTTGTAAGCAGAATTCGCAAATGTAAGCGGATTCCGCAAACTGTTAAGTGGATTCAGAATTTTATTTATACTGCATATGAACAATTAAAAGCTAGAGCTGGAATACTTATCTGTAGCAATGCGGAATTCAAAGGCATGGATTTAACTACTGTCGGCGGAATCCACGAACAAATCTCAAAATATTTGTTAGCTAAATCGGTGGTTGTCACCTTTTAGTAGTTTGGAAACACAACACCTAATAAATTCAATATTTGTAGTCATTGGCTTGAGAGTGTTTGAAAACACAACGCACAGCATATCGCCGAATTAGGTCAGTATTAAGGATTGCGCCAATCCCAAATACTGGTCAGTATTTGGGATTCCATCAATCCAAAAACTGATGATCTAGTTTCCGATTCTAGTGAATTGAGATCGAAGTTGACAGGACTGGTAGTTGATCAAGGCAATTGAGATTGATTTTTCCGGTGACCATCTAAAAAAAAGATGTAATTTTAAACGCTATACTACACATATACATATATGTAAACGAAATCCGCAAACAAAATGTGGATTCCAAATTTGCGGATTCCGCTTAAATTGAGCAACTGAAGTATACAAATGTCTTATTATTTGTTTGTGGATTCCACAAACTATTCTGGATTCCGCAAATACGGTTGCGGATTCCGCAAAACCCTTTTTATGGAGCGATTTTGAGCGGTACAGTGTTTTAGGTATTTGTTTGTTGAATTCAAAACAGCGAAGAAGATCAAAGAAAAGTAGCAAAGTTGCGGATTCCGCGACAGATCTAATTTTGGCCTGTTGCGGAATCCGCTTACAATGCATAAAATGGACAGTTTGGCCTGGTAATGTTGACACAGAAATGAAGCGGAGCTTCTTCAGCCCAATTACGATACAAAAAATTATGCTGCGCAAACAGACTACAAAGCTGCAAAAAATCACAACTTTTAAAAACATTTCAAGAGTAGAGTTGACTTGATCAAGCTGTTCTCCAGCTCCACTATCATTTAAAGAAAATCTCATTTGAAAAACTCGAACCAAGCAAAAACATTTGTGAAAAGCGTAAATAAATTTTCTATTCTAACTTTTGCGATCAGATCCGTACCATACTTTCTAAAAATCAAGACAATGCTCCAGTCAAGGTTTTCTATACTATGAGACAAAAGAAGAGCCAAAAAATTGTCCGGAAACAATTTGTAAAGAAAATATCTAGGAACTCAATTACCTGCACCATTAAATAACAGCAAATGGAATTTTGTGAAAAAATGTTCAGATCATAAGCAAAGTTCTTGTTGTGGCAACTTAACCAAAGATGTAAGCAGAAAAACGATGGCACGACAATTTTTCCAAGCATTGGAAACCTGAGCCTTCGGAGTGTCACGCATGAATATTATCTCCAGGCTGAAAAAGCAACATCAGACCCATATCTTAAATTGACTATAAGACACGCTATCAATTTTTTCAGTGATTTTGTAAAACAATTTGTCTATCCGAAAAACAAATATCCTGCAAATTGGTAACGCTTGCTAATCCCTTGCGTAATTAGGAAAAAAACCTAAGTATCAACGATGGATTACACTTATGACTAAACAGTGGCCTACAAAGGCAGGAACTGAACAACAATTGCCGTTTTCTGACAGAAAGCTGCAATTAGCTCAGCAAATAGAAAGTTCCGTCGATAATTAATTTCAAATACTCCAAAAGGGTCTGTTTTCATGCAGACGACAGTTAACTTGACAAAATGAATAACTAAAGTAATCAAAACAAGTTTCTTTTCAAGTTGTTTCAGAATCACTTTTTGAGTTTTAGGAGCCGGAGAAGCACGAAGGGCCGATTTAAAGAATACTTTAAATCAACAACTATCGACACACGTTAATAAAATCGACACACATAATTTTTAAAAGTTTAAAAATATCAATCAAACCATGACTAAAGGGCTTTAGTACGATATAGCATTCGACTCCGGCTGACAATTCATTGAAGCATCTCAATAATACCCTGAGAAAAAAACGCTAGGGCTGATTTCGCTACGCTATAAGGATGTGGTCTTGCAACAGGTACCAAGTCGAAACCAAAATTGACAATCCAAAAAATATTTTATGAAAACTGCTAATGAAATAATGCGTGATTCGTACCTTAGTGCTGCAAAACAGATTTTTGACGCTAGAAAAGGCAGCTCTGAACTCTTTAAAATCATTTAAAAAAACTATGGTCAAAAGAAAATGCAACCCCGAGGTTGGTAGCATTCAACAGCGTCATATCCTGGCTAAATTAAATATCAAGAAAACGATTAAAAATTTAGGTTCCCGAATTTAAAGTTTGAAAAAAATTTCCGATTTCAGAAAAGGAAAACTGAGATTCGCAATAGTCGCGTTACGTCACAAAATAGCAATTTGAGCTAGCCGGGAGAAAATAAGACGAAAGCCACTCAAAAGTCCAGTCAACAAAAAATTGAAAACATGTTGAAAAATCTACAACAATTTTGGGAAAAACATGCCAAAAAAATCGAATCCACAGTTCAAATAGCATTGATAAAAAATACAAGGCGATAACTAAGCCGACAATAGTTGGGTACGTACCCGTTGTGTCAATTATTTTTGTCGTAGATAAAATTGAGCCATAGAAAACTTAAATTCCGCATTTCCCAAGTCCGCCACCTGTTGACCCAAATGCAGACATAAACTTCTATTCAGCCTTGCGAACAAGGCAATAGAACGCGACGAAGCCGATTAAACATAAGTCTAAACCTTTCAGGTCGCAAAAATCGGTGATCATAAAATTCTCAACATAAAAACCAATTTCGAAAAAAAATCAAGTGGTTCATTCAAATTTGTATTGAAATGAAATCAATGCAGCTACGATACAGTCGACAACACTTGGGCAGACGCCCACTGAGACGAATAACGTTGTCATAAAAATTTCGAACTCGGTTCTGATGTTTTCAGTCCTCGGAAGCAATACAAAAGAGTTAAAAACGATAAGTCATTATGCTAGAACCATTTAAACTAAAAAAAAATTCAGCGAAAAAGAAGCAGAAAATGAAATTATACAAAAATGAGCTATATAAACTTCTAAATAACATAAAAGCATATTTCGAAAAGAACAGATTTTTAAAATCCCAACGTGCTCAAAACATTTCCGTGAGTTGACTAAATGATTCAGTGATTCTGTTAGAAAAAAAGTTAATATGGAAAAAAGTACGTTTCAATTTGTTAACGCCTGCAAGAAGCTGATGAAAAAAAATGATATTGAATTTCTTCAATCTTTATCATTGACCTTTTTTGATAAAATTTGACCCATTTGCGAAAATTCGGTAAATTATTATGGGGATTCTAAACATAAGAACCAGGTTTGAAATTATAGCTCATTCAATTTGAGAGCTTACTCTGAGCGTAATTTGTACCCTGAGAGCATCCCACCGTGTGGTTGAGAATTTCAGGTTCTGTTAGTTTTGAAAAAAAAAATGAAAAAGTAATAGAAATCTCCATACCTCGAAACCAAAGAACTTGACCAGTCACATTTGGAGGACAGAATTGCAACTCCATAGTTTATCCTGAAAAAACCCCCATCATAAGGGTTACAAAAATTTTTGAAATATGTTTTTGCATAATTGAAATCATAAAAAATGACATATCTTGGAAACCAAAAGGATTTCAGCAGTAACATTTGGAGTGTACCCTGGTAGTGTACCCTGAATGTACCCCGGTAGCACGCCCAATAGCGTTGAGAATTTCAGTTTTGCACTGAAACCAAAAGCTTTAACAGTTGCCATTGCTAAATAAGTAAACTGTACAGTTAGAGCATTCACGTTTCAGCATATGTGTAGTTAACATAATGGATGAACTTGAAAATTAAAAACGTTGAATTCAATCAAATACATTTAACATTGCATTTTATTAAACATTGCATTTTTAAAATACTGGCATTTTAATAAACATGCCAACATAGGGACTTCTTGAATATGTGTCAAGTGGAACACCACTTACATAATGTATAGATAGATGTGTTTTCTTTGCGCGTGAACATTTTAAGAGAATTTGCGATTGAAAAAATCACAGCAATTATCTCAATAAGCCTCCAAAATTACTCCTCTAACTCGCAACTAACGCAAACCATGCATTAAATCCGAATCAACGGTCAAAAATTAAAACTGACCGAAGATTTGCTAAAGCCACTGAAAAATTGGAATAGACATAAATCGAACAGAAACAATTCTCTGCTGCCGGAAAAAAATTGTTACAATTCTCTAATAAAATTGTATTTTAAGTTTTCATTTAAATAGAAATTCTAAACACAGAATCTATAACTACTTATTTGCTGTTTCAAACAATGAATCATATTAAGGACGATAGATATTGCATTCAAACACCATTAATAAACATTTACCTCGCAATAAAACAGTATAAACTAATAAACATAGCCAATCGAAGATGGGAAAAGAGTAATGAACACTTGTAAACATTAAAAAAACTGACTTAGCTGAAAAAAATCTCAATTTTCAAATTTCAAAGAAAAAATACATACCTTTTAAACTCTTTGAATTTCTAGAACGACTTATGATTGGCGCTTTTTCGATAACATTAAAACAACCTGAGAAAAATGGATCAACAAGTAAAGTTTTAAATCTAAAAATAAAATTCCACTATCGTTCATGTTTTTTCCACGTTCGTATTTGGAGAATGCTATTTAGGTCAATTTCAGCAGATGAATTTCAATTGAACTGAAAAAATGCATATATACCTAAGTGTATTCCTAAATGCATCAATATGTATGAATGCACATCTGTAGTTTTTAGACTTTTATGCACAATTTAAGACTTCTTCCTGAAAAAAAACTGAAAAAAATCAACAAGATCTATAAAAGAGTCTTCACTACGTTCATTAATCTTAATAAAACAAAATGACAAAATGAATCTACAGTTTCTTCTTTTCGACTTTTTCTTTTGGCTTCTCGTACAGTTTAATCTGCATAATTATCACTCCAATTATTACACAAGCCAAACCAGCTCCAACTGCCAGACCTTTATCGTTCGACTCTTGCAAGACAGTAAGCACTCGCAAGAAACAGATTGTGAACGCCATCATCATTGACACCGCCGAGATTTGACCTGTCGACTTTGTTCTGAAGTTAGTGAAAATCTGCGACAATCCCCCAAACCCCATGATTGAAAATCCGAAATGGTTGAAGTACCGTATAGCTTGTAAACTAAGTGTCCCAGAGCACAAGAACATAGCAGCTGATATGTAGAACACAAACCAAGATACAGCTTTAATTCGCTGTCCGGAAAAATCTAGCTTCATGTAGAAAATGAGCAAAGTTTGCAGAAAACTGCAAATTGCGTCACCGTAGATACTGAAAGGGTAACTTGATACGTAGCAATATGTGAAATGACCCATGAAACCCGTTGTTTCTATGAGTAGAGACATGTTGTTCAACCCTTCACCACTTTGAGCTTTGTACACCTTCACTATCTGAGGCAGCTTAACGAATATTGAAAATGTCATGATGAAGTAACTGACAAGCTTGCTAACAATTTGCTTGGCACACTCCGGGTTTAAAAAGTCGTTTTCTGAGGCATAGACTTCCAGACATTTTGGACTGACGAAGACGAGGGCTATTTGTTCCATTGTTAACTGAAAAAAAAATGTTGTTAATAATAATAATTGGAGCAAAATTACCCGTCAATAAGTGTCAAGAATATGATTTGAAATCGATTATAATTTGAACTATAAACTTTATTTTGAATAGAAAAAAATCTGAAACGCGAAGTTACCTCTGAATTGGAAAACTGTCTCAAGATTCAATAAATTTATTTGACTGAAGACGAGACAGTAATTATGTTATCTGTGTACAGATTTGAAACGAAACTCTTTCAATGATTTTGTGCTTTTAGAAACAAATACATACAGACAGTGGCCCTAAAGAAAGCAGACAAGATTCCTGAAAACAAACAAGACTCCTTGAAAAGTATTTTTGGTCCTAGGTTTGAGCAGAGAGCGTAAAGATTTCAATGTCGTTTTGTTTCTTTCATTTTCATTTCATTTCTAATTCGTTTTCTATAACTCACAAAATAATAGTTTTGACAAGATATTTGACTTGAAAACCGGAAAGGTTAGGCTACGCTTAAGTTCTACCAGTTTTCATGGATCACCATGCGGTTTTCTGGGTGACGTTTATTCCTTTTTGGCTTCTGGTTTCTTTCCGGAGAAGTATAATATCTGGAACAAAATGGTACCCAAGACCATACTGCTCGAAGAAGTGCCTACGATTAATTGAAGGTCCTTCGTTTCGAATACATTGATCATCACTTTCGAAGAGACTATGCAAAAGCCCATCAGAATAGTCCAAAATGATATTTGTCCTGTCGATTTGTTCTTGTAATTTGTGTAAATCTGAGACGAGCCTCCGAGGAACTTTGTCAAAAATCCCATTCGGTTGAGATTCTTTAACACGTAAATCGGCACGAGACCGGTACAAAAAAAATACGCTCCACCAAGTCCGAACAAAAACGCAATCATCGCTTCCCATTTTCTTCCACCGTAAAACATACACAGGTAGACCACAAGCATAGTTTGAACGAAGTTTGAAATAGTATCCCCGTAGGTACTGAAAGGGTACCCTCTAACACAACTGTAACTGATTACGGTACTGAAGCCCATGGCATCTATCGCTTGAGTGCTGATGTTGATGCCTCGACCACTTTTTGCCCTGTATATTTTCAGGATCTGCGGTATTTTTACACATAACGAGATACATAGTATTGTATACCCGACGAATTTGCTCAGCAACTGTTTTGCGCAATCTGCATTGAAAAAATCCTTGTCAGCAAAGTAAACATCCATGCATTCTGGCGAAATAATCGCATGAATGATTTGGCGAAGCATCTTGAAAAAGTAAAACTGTTTAAGCTAATAACTATTTTGCGTATAAGTTATAAACTATTTTCAACAATCCTAAGGCACTGACTACGGCAATGTTCAATAAATGAATGTGCTTGCATTGCTTATCATCTAAAGCTCGTTGGTGATATTTGTTCTGTTTTCTGCAATATTCGCTTTCTGTGTGAACTAAATAAGCCAAGTTTGTTTATCCATGGTTGAATGAACCCTCCTCGAATCCTCATTTCTCTGGTTTGTATCCACAAGTGTAGCATGACTATCATCTGTTCTCAACTGACCATTTGGTAGTCCGCGTGAACGAATATCGAAGAGAGCTAAACCAGAGAAATATCGAAGAGAGCTAAACCAGAAAACAGGATGAAGTTTTCTGCTTTCAAATGTTTAATCTGATACATCTTTGATATAATCTGATATATTAGCTAAAATGGCAGTCTAGGTAATCTGAGACGCTGCAAATTCATAAATCAATACGTCATTCTCAGATGACCGAAAAAAACTAGTCTTTTAACCACGGTGTTATTACAATGACAGTCCAATTCATATAATCTCCATATGTGTCCAGTTTCCGCAAAGCTAATCTCGAAAATAACTTGTGTTTTGAAGGTAACTCGAATGGAGGTCAAAATTGTGAACTCATAGAATTACAAGAAAAGTTCTTGCTCTGAGTCATTATAAAACAGGACCATTGTAGTCAACACAGTAACACAGTTTTCGTTGTCGATCCACCCATTGCTTTTATCGCACGCAGACATCCATTTGAGGACATTCAGCTCACCCCATCTGGCGAGGCGATAAATTACAATGCATGGCCCAAGCGACAAAAATAGAAAACCAGAAAATAACCCGACCACTTAGGGTCCAAAAAAACAGAACGCTATGGCCATATTTTTTTGTTTGCAAACTGCAAAACTCAGTCAACTCAATATCAAAGGAAATGCTTTCGCAAGGATATACTTTTTCGGGTAAGACAGTCTGATCGCCAAAGGCAAAAAATGTAGGTTAACGGCTGATAAATGGCTTTAACGCAATTTTAAAAGCCAATGAAGGACTTTCAAGTGAAGTAAATATTCCGAAAGAATCTAAACTTTGTTACGCCCATACGTGTGACAGCAATATTTTAAGCAACTGCGAAGATTGTTCAGAAAATTGATGCTGTCCCTTGTCATACACTTTCGTCAAATCTGATGAAATTTAGCTGAAAAAATACTAACACTTGGGAGAGATAGTAAGAGAGTACCCGTAAAAGGGAAATTGAAAACTACAAATTTGCTAACCGTTTTTGCGAAAAAAAATCCCAAAAACCTAGCACGGCACAAATTTGGACCATCCATTTCTTTACTACATCACTTTTTCTCATACTCTACCTTCTCAATTTGAAAAAAGCGCTCATGTAAAAGCACTTATTAGGCCAATACTTTCAAAAATGGAATTTTTCAAAGGTTGTACAGGTGTCGCAGAAATTTCAGTCTTAAAAAATTTGGTTTTAAAAATTTAAAAACATAATAACTCCGCATTGGGTCTATACTTGCTCATCGCCCCACCTTTCCAAATTAGTCGAATACTTATTTGCCAGCAGCTGTTTACGTTCCCAGGTACTTGTATTGTTATTCTTGATCGAAAACTGGAAAAACACAAAAATTGCCCAGTCAATAGTCAAATCTTTTGGTTCAAAAAGCAAAAACAAATTTATTCCAGAAACTTTATTTCTGAAAGCTTCAACACACGCCTTGTATCCACAACGTAATTCAACCAGATCTGATTTCTGACCTTTTTCTATCTTCATTTTCTGAATATCTGAAATTTTACACTCGAAGTGGAACTCTTCGACTTTGCTTAACATCGGAAACAAACGGAAATGACCATCCGTAAAAATGAAGTCTTCTGCGTCAAAAACTGGAGGACTACAAAAATTTTCATTTCTTTGCGTTGGTAAATGTAAGAACGCCTGCAGCGTTTTTTCGTCAACTTTATTCGACGAGCTTTCCGCAAACCTTTTTATATCACTGAAATTCGAAATAATTTTCAGTCGTTTTGCGTCCATTGCTCGTTTAGATTTATCTAAAATTGCTATTCGGGAATCAATCACCGAAGTTAAAGCTGTCAGTTTTCTTTTGACTGATCTTTGCATGTGTAATTTATAAGACTTCATCGAATGGTCTTCGTGAGTTTCTTCTTCGCAAACGTGACACACTTTTTCATCACAATCATTACACCAGAACAACACTTTTACCGACTCGTGTTTGACACAATTCGGCGCCAGGCAGAAGTCACTCTGCTCCGGAACCGGTTTCGAAGACGATACAGCTTTTTTGTACATGGCATTGCATATTGGACATTTGAGAGTACTCGTTTTGGAGTCAAGTTTTCCCAGTTTGCGGAAACAGTCTTTAGGTGGTCCACAGAAAATGTGCCCGCAAGTCAAGAATATTGGATCTTTTGGATCCACTCCATTGCACGTTGAGCATTGGCGAATTTCGAAGAAAATATTGGAACTCCTACGAGAGGTTTCCATAGACGTATGTAAAGTCACATTTGATTAATCGAAATGTAGAACTCACAAAACATCGAACAACTGGGGCTTTTGTATGTATAAAAACGATAGATAGACCAATATTAATCTAAAATGCTCAACTTGAATGAATTTCATTGTCTGAAGTTGCATTATTCATTGTCTGATAAAAGAATAATTTTCATACTTGAATGAATTTCATTGTCTGATAAAGACTAATCAACGCAGAAGCGAAGCTGAGCAGCTTCGCATCACTTACGATACAACGCAAGCAGAGCATTGCAAGCTATCGAATAGAAAAAGACGAAAAGAAAAAAAATAGGGAAAAAATACATTTTTTTTGGGAACAAATGAAAATAATTTCAAATCAACAGTCGGAAAACAACTTTTAGTAATAACCGAGCGGCCACTAAGTCGAAAACAAGTGGGTAGACGAACATTGAGCCAAAAACATTTAACGCCATCAAACTGTTGTTCTAACAAATTTTTGAGCAATTAAGTTTTAAACACAAACATTATGGCAACACAAAACTACCTGAATTTTTCAAAAACAAATCAATTATTTTTTGCCTTTGAAGGGACATGAAAAAAAAGTAACTAAGCCGATAAAACATACGCCGAAATCATTTAAGCCGATGAAAGCTTTTGAGCGAAAAAAAGGAAGCCACATAAAATATATAGAGTAGATCGATTTGAAAGAAAAAAAAACAGGAGTAAATCAAAAACACTCGCGCTCGATGAAAATTGCTGACAGGATAGAAAAAATCTCCGATGTGGCAACTAAGCTGAGATAAAAAGCAGAAAAAACTGCACGATAATTCAATTTTTCTCGGAAACATGTTCAATTTCATACATACTGCAAAAACAACGTCCGACTGAGACTCGAATCCCAGACCTTAGGGTACAAAGGTAGCAGCGTTAGGCTTAAGGCAAGTGGGAAGAAGTCTTCAAAAGGCCAAGAACATTAATAGAGCAACCTAATACAGATTTGTATGAGAAGTTGTCTACGGGACAAAAAACTAGTTCCCGATTAAAGCCACTTCACGATTACAAGAGTAATTATCATGATCGTACACAGAAATCAATGCAAGAAACCAGTCATTACAACGACGAAAAGAGTTTAAAATCTGCTGTTTAAAGGAAGCTATTTTTAGATACTTTCTATTTAAAGCAGCTACACAGAAAAACGGAAGAATCACCTTAAAATTTATTCTCGAACCTCTTATCTGGAGATTAAGAGTCTTAGGTTCCGGTATTTGTGCCACCATCGCTTGAGAACTTACCAACACTAGCTACTAATCAAGCAGCTACAGTTGCTATTACATTGCCAATGCTTTTCAGCATGAGTGCCACCAAATCAAACTTAAATTAATTATATGTGCCGGAATTGAACCTCTAACCGTGTAGATAAAGAGTCTGACGTCCACGAATCTGAGCCACAGTCGCTTCAGAACTAACTGGTGCCCAGCTTAAGTTGGAGATAGCTGTTTAATCATTAAAACTTCTAAACTCGACTGGTTTCCTCATTTCAAAATTGGCAGTATTTTTGAGAAATTTTGTGTGAACATTTTTAACTTAAGAACATAAATTGAGAGAATTCGCTGATGCAAGGGATACGCCCAATAGTTTGTTTTTCCGATTGAATGAAAAAAATAAGGAAGAAAAACAAGGTAAACCAAAACTTTCGGATGTATCGATGAAGGACACCTAGATCCCAGCTTAAATTGGAGTTTGATATTTTTTGAATTTGTTTACTGATGCAGGACGAAATGCGTGATTTCAAAAATTGGACTTTGCCCAAAACCATAGTTGTTTGTCTAATAAACAAAGAATGCGTGAAAAATTTTTTAATTTTGGAATTTTCCCAGCGACATCACATTTCTCTTACAAAAAAAATATGGAGAGCCCTCTACTGCAGGAAAAAATCGCCAACCTCTTCCTTCGATTGAACATGTAAGTGGCCAGTAAAGTAACGAAAATTCCCAATATCGAGTTTCTCCATTGAACTCGATTGAGATTTTGCACGGTAATATTCGAGTAAAGTCAAAAAACTTCTAAAAAACGTTCTAAGTTTCAAAATTCTTTTGAAGGCCATACTTTTGCCCAAAAAATGGTTGGAGCAAATTATTGAGGTGAGCTTCCAACCACCTGTTGTGTCGATCAAACCTATGATATCAGATTCGGCAGGTCAGTTTTCGAGATAAGTCCGAAAAACGGTCAACAAATCAGATAGTTGACATTTCCGAGAATCAAAGCATTTTGTTTAGAAAAAATTGGAGCTTAGCCGCTTATGCAGAAGAAATTCGACCAACCTGTAGTTTCAATTGAGCCCAAAAAAAACAATTTCGGCAATGCAATTCTCGAAAATTTTCAAAAACTCACAAAAAATCAACATTTTGACTTTTCCGAGGGCCATTATTTTTTGTGTCGAAAAAGTGGGGCGTAATCGGGAATGCAAAGGAGCTTTTCACAACCTTTTTTTGAATTGGACACAAAATCCCAAATTTGGGAGAGTACTTCTCGGAAAATATATAAAAACAATAAAAAAAACGCTCAAAAAATCAAAAAATGACTTTTCAGAGGACGATAACATTTTTATTTAAAATTTGTGAGTGTCAGCTAATCCAAGGGAACTTCGCTATCTGCATTGAACCCACAACCTCAGGTTCGGGAGGTCAGTTTTCGAGAAGATTTAAGTCAAAAAGGTTTTAAGACTTTTTCGAAGGCTGTAGACGAAAGGGAAAAGCGAAAAAGATACCAGGGGAGTATACAAGCACACAGGGGTATAGCGGTTTTTCTACGGATATCCTTTTTTTGAAAATCGGTAGAAAAAGCGATAAAATTTTTCAAAGCATCTCAAAAAACAAAATCCCAAACATTTTCATAAAACCTATTTTTATCAAACAGGAATTATAAGCAAATATGCTAAGCGAGACCTTTCAAAATCGGAATAGCAACTGAACAAAACATAAGAAGCGTAAGCGTACAACATTTGAGCAGACACCAGTTGAGCCGAAAAAAAAAACTGATTAGTAACCAGTACCCACCCAGTAGTTAAATTTGAATTTTCTTGAAATTGAGCGTGTCAGCTGCATAGCAGCATCATAAGCGATTTATTTTTTTTCCGTTAAACTACTAGTTAACCCGATAAAAAAGTCTACATTCCGACTTGATAACGCTTGTTGATCGCAAGCGTAACAAAATTCGTCGAAAAACGGTCAAAATTACAAAAAATAGACTTTTTTCAGTTGAAACAACTTTTTTGCAAATGATTAGTGTGTGGCTGCTTATGCAACCAAAATTGCTTCTTCCTTATTATTCGATTGAACCTTTATTCTAAGATAGTTAAAGGAGAAAAGTGAAAAGTTTCCAAAAACATAGTCAAAACTTCAAAAGTACAGTTTCTATGGTTATCAATTTTTCCACAAAAAAAGGCGTAACCGTGTATGCAGGGAGAAACCCTAACACCGGTTCTTGCTAATGAACACGACCTCAGATTTTTGGCAGGGCAGTTTTCGAGAGAAAGGAAAAACTCATTTTCTAACAGAGGAAGGAGATCACCATAACATGTTCTCTTGAGTGAAGTTTCAATTTTAAATTTCAAAAATTCTCCCACTGAAAGTTTTGAAGGCCGTGGGGTACGGTAAAAAGATAATAGCTAAAGATGCGGCACACAGGAGAGTAGCCAATTTTTCCATCGGTCATTCCGCCACTTTTGTGAAAATCATGAAGCACTATAATCCAAAATTTCAATCTAAATATTTTTTCCGAAAGACAAAGTTATTTTGAATATTTGAACTCACGCATAATATCATGGTGCTCAAATAAATAAAGGAAGATACACAAAGATAGAAACTTCTCGATAATAATCATAAAAATTATGGACAAAATAGACTCTGGTGTAAAATAATATTCAGCCACCATCAAGCACATGATCACACATTGCGTGCATCGTAAACTTTGTTCAACTCCAACTCCAGCGCTTGGTTCACACCCTGTATCTGCCCTGTGACACTCTTAGCCCACTTGAAGTACTCCCCCACCCTCTCCTCGCTCCACCCCTCGGGAGTGGCTCTGTTCAGATCCCTGAGGTTGTACAGTTTATCAGCTAGCTTGACCATTTTGGCTTCCCTCGACATCTTTTCTATTCTTTCTACCTGCAATTGGAAATATCAAAAAAAACATCATCTGATTCATTACTGGCATTACAGTTCAGACCACCTCATAGAGACTGGAAGATAGTCAAGTGCACCGTGGGTTTTCTTTACGCATAATCAGGTACAATAAACTCATCTCGCACAAAATTGAGTGATATATCATATCGAAACTTTTCGAGTTGGGATTCAGTTTCTTAAAAAGATGTTTCAGACTAATTCTAGACGCAAAAAATTATCTTGAGTCGCAAAAGAGCTTCGCTCATTAAAATAGCTGTCTGAAATGTGGGGAAATAAAAGGCCTTTCATAGACCCTCGGCGAATCGCAGTAACCACAATATTTTCAAAAAGTAGTCTTTCGAGAAAAATTTAACTGTACATTTTTTAAAAGTTTTTTCAGGCGAATCTAACATTGGCCTGATTAGAACAGAGCATGAATGTCTTATTTCTACTAATTTGAGACGATTACAGATTATTTTGAGCTAAATTACAACTGAAAATTGCAAAAAAAAAATTGAAAAAAAATTGTCAACATTTTTCTGCAGTGGTACTGTCGTCCAAAACAATTGAGCTGCTTGCAGTGCGATCGATATCCCTTGTTCAGCCGATAGACCAGAAGGCGTTGGATTCGATTGACCTTTCTACGTGAAGACACTAAACTTAGATATGAATCCCAGTTGCTACTTAAAGATTTTCAACATTGCAGGTGTATCATTGCAGATGAAATTTAAACACTTTCTGGCAGATGCTCACAATGATAAACTACCCGCCCGGAATCGAGCTGTTAAAAGGCAACGCTACGAATAAGCATGTTAAGCTTCTTGCATAGTTATGATGTCCATTATATGGAGGAATAATATATAATTTTTTTCATTCCTCTTTCCGATTATTGTCTAACAAAATCAGTGTTGGGTGGGGCATCACATTTCCCCTAGTTTGACAAAAGGGCTAAAATGGAACAAAAAGCAATTTTTTGACAACTTTCCTACCTGCTTTTGCTTCCTCTCAGCTTTAGGCAGTGTTTTATCGTCAGTCTCTTCCATCACAATATTGGCCACTGTCTCTCCGAAGTAGGCCACCAGTTCCTCGTACGAAGTGTCGGTATCTTCTACAGTGTCATGCAGAAGTGCTGCTTACTGGTCAAGACAAGGATTTAAATCTATATGGTTTTAAGATTACGGATTCTTGCTGCTACCCTACGGGTCGTAAGCCTTAATAAAATTCTACTTCGCTGGTTAAACTTCCTCATTTCGTTTTTTTTTATTTCTCAGAAATTTGGAAAAAAAAACAGTTTCAATTTAAAAGTAAAGAATTGTCTATCGCAACAAATCTATTTCTGTTTTTGGAGAGCGTAATTGTAGCTCTACGGGGTGTTTTCAAAACACGTTTTTTATTAATCTTCTCTCATTTCACTGATATCTAGTTTATGAAGCTAATCTTACTGCATTCGGCTGCAAAATTCGCTGAACTCACATGATATTTTTTCATTAGGTTAAATTCCTTATTGTTCATGCATGTTTGCACGGTTAGTCGATTTTTTTTGGCATTTTGTGCGGCATAAGTTTCTACACAGAGGCTAAGTTGAACTTCGCATACACAAGCAGAAATATGACCGATAACGCTACTGGGGAAAACTGAATAATAAAAAACTTTGAGTCTACAAAATTTCTTAAAAAACGCACGCCAATTATGAGTCTAGATAATTGCTAAGTGACGCAAGCCAATTAAGACGCATTAACAGTACCAGTCAATCCGAAAAAAAAAAATTACCAACTAACATACCTCAATTTATAAAGCGGACGCATTTTAACTAGTATACGAAAACTTTCATTTAAAACATCCGACCCTGCCCGAGTTCGAAGCCTCTTAACTTATTGCTGGTCTCCTTCCCTAACGAACGCTACAGATCCATTATACTTTGAAGCTAAAACGCTATTTAAAAAATGAACATAGCCAATCAAAGATTGGAAAAGAGTAATGAACGCAGGTAAACAAAAAATCACTGACTTTATTTTAAAAAAATAGATGCACTTTAAGGTCCGTGAAACGATTTATGACTGGCGCTTTTTTGATAACATTAACCCAACTTGCGAAAACTGGATAAACAGGTAAAGATTTTGATCCGATGGAAATCTAAAAATTAAATTCCTCTTTCGAAACTAGAAGTCGTCACGTTTTTTTTGCGCCATTTCCTTGTTCGTATATGGAGAGTGCTATTTACGTCACTTTCAGCGGAGGAACTTTCATTGAACTCAAAAAATGCATGTATGCCTAAGTGCATCAAATATTTTAAGACTCAAAAAAAATCAGTAAGACCTATATAAGAGTCTTCACTACATTCATTACTCTTAACAGTCTGTGTTAATATCCTTAGCATTGGCTGTACTTACTAGCTGGTTACTGATCAAAATGAACACATTTTTCTCAACAATTGCATCGCAAAAACATTTGCGACTTAGGTTGGAAAAAAAAGAGTTCATACTATAACTATAATATTCGGGATTTTTCTAGCATTTCTACGGAGCAAATTAATCTGAAAAATTTTAAACTAAAATTTTACTCTCAAAGCGGGTCAGGTCAAATCAATTGGTTCAAAATTAAGGAGCAAAACAGGGTCCAGTGGTGTAAAAAGAACTACAATTGACCCTGTTTTGCTCCTTAATTTTGAACCAAAATGGTTGAATCACTTTGAAAGTAGGATTTAGGTTTGATTTTTCCGAATTAATTGCACCCCTTTTCCAAATAAATTGCACCATTAAAATGCTGGAAAAACTCCAACAACTTTTGTCTTCAACTATTTTTGTCCAAACTTAATCGAATTTGAGAGAAAAAGTCTGGAATTAATTTTTATCATTTTAAATCAGTACTATAGAATCTCGTTCAGCACAAAATGCAGTGAAAAATCGGGATCAATTGAGCAATCTCCCCCCTCCCATTCTCGCTTGGGGGGATTAAGCTCAATAGGTACTTGAGACATGTTTATAACCACTTGAAAATAGTTTAAATGATATGAAATCACCGCTTGAAAATATTTTAAATGATATGAATCATAAAACATATTCTCCAACGACTGTAGAACGCCAAAATTTACAAAATCAAAGCTCAAAAATTACAATCAGAGTGAAAAAGACACCGTAAAGCTGAGACAAATTAGGCTACTTTTTTCTGTCCTCAAAAGAGGAAAAATGTATTGCATACAACATTAAGGTGCTGCTCATAATAGTGTTTTATTTTCAAATACAAGGCTAGAGCATCAACGCTGGTAAATTGCTTTCCTCGATGAGGCAACGATCACCCAAACGAAAAATTTTTCTTTTTCAAAATTTTTCTCGATACTCATAAAAAATAACTTCAGCCGGTCAATTGATTGCGTGCTACGAACACATCAACCATCTACTTTGCTGACGTCTTTTTGTAGCGTTAAACCGTTTTTGATTCGGGATGAGATAGCTCAATTGGTCATTACGAGGGGCGGGGGAGATTGCTCAATTGATCCAGAAATCGATTTATCGTAGAGACATGCGTGAACAAAAAACAATCGAACTTCATGAGAAATATTTAAAGATTTCGACGAATTCCACGGCTGCCGTTTGCAAAAAGAATGACATCAATAAATTAAATATTAGTGAAATGAGAGATTCGAAATAACTGAAGTAGCTCTTGCATAGAAAATGGCAAACTTTAAAGTTTCAATTTTTTCTCAGCTCTTCCCCCACACGCAATTTCAAGCAGGAAGTGATCCATTTTTCTTCTACTAACGAAATATTTGTACCAATTATCGCCCCATATCAATTTAAAATAATTTCTTAGCCCAATTAATTTGCTGCTGACGCTATGAGCTATAGAAAACGAGAATTAATTATCACAAACTGTTCTTCAACACCCCATAAATTTTGCAAAAAGTGTCCCAGGTAAACTAACTTTTTTATTTGAGACATCGCATCAAGAAGTGAATCACACTCATTACTGGTAGCTTTGATTAAGCCGATATAGGTCATATGCCGAATAGATGCTAATACAGCTGGTTTAAACTTAACAGATATGGACAAATTTGTTCACCAGTGTTGCTAACACCAGCTATTCGATATAATTATCGCGTTATATAAAAAATTCTGTTTCACAAATATCTCGATGGCCGAAATAGGTCTGTAACAACAACGAGCATAAACAATGCGTTGTTTTCTTCGAAAGCCAGAAAAGCTTAAATTATCGTTTAAAAACATAAATTGTAAATCGCCATCTTAAAATTACTTGTCAGCTAGAATCAACAATACCTAAAAACTGGAGTGGACTTCAGATCTTAAGCCAAGATTCCTGCCGTAACAGCTCGTATCTTGGTAGTCCCATTGCAGATCAGAGACACACGTTATCATAGTTAATATTTGAATGCCTCTTTATACATTTATGATGATTGGCTTGTCTCGTGTCACATTAAAGACTTTGATGTCTACCCTCAATCTAGCCACTTCGTCTGCCCTCAACTTTCAAAGAAGTTTTGGGCCTTAGAATTGCGATTTATTATCTTCAAACCGTCAATTTGATAGCCGATAAACTAGTTTTGTATCCTGTTTCATTTCTCCCAATATCATAAAATCTCTTCCGCATCCAGAGTTCTTGCTGCCAAAAAATTTGCCCTAAGGTCGCAGTGAAATTAAGGCATTTGTCGATTCTAACTGACACGAGTCGCAATGAAAACAAGATTCACAATTGATCGGCCCTCTTCACAAATTGACAAGGAACTGAGAAGTCAATTGATAAAGAAATCAATGTTCATCTTAGTTCCACTTGTCGTTGCACTAGCGGCTGGTATTAGTATTTTCCTCATCGTGACATTCCAGGTCAGAAAATAACAATAACAAAATATTATATGATAGCCCAATGCAGATTGATTCAGAGCATGAAACGTTCTCAGACGTCTGTTTTTTTTGGTCCTTTGGGAAACCTGTTTTGGCCAAATTTGCTGCGCCGCAGGCAGTATTTATGAAAACAGACCAAAAAGGTTTTTAGAGGCATTTTTTGGAAAATTTTATCCAAAAATCGCGCTTTTTCGGCGCAATTTTTTAACATGACATCAAAACTTAATTTTAGGGTCGGCCAGCTAAAATTTTTTCTGCGATATTAAGGCGCGAGAGAACGTATCTGTTGAAAAAAATTTTTGTTAAGATTTTAGCAAGTGTTTTTCACTTTTTCGCTCAACACTCTGTTTTTCTTGTGGGTGAGATTGCTGTATGCCCATAGCTTTCAAAATATTGAATTTCTGATTTGCAACATCTAATTTGATTTGCTCTATAAGGGTGTGATTGTAGGGGTGGTTTACTTCAAAGAGCGTATTAATGCAAAAATAACCTTTTCGATTTCCTCACTCAATAATCAAGTCGAAAGCAACAATGATCATTTAAAAATGTACAACAACTTATGACGGCGATTAAAAAATTAAGAAACATTGTACAAAAAATTTTTAAAATAAGAAAACAATTGTAAATTAATTGTAATTTTTTTTGTTTTTTATTCATTTATGAAAACAAATCTTGCCGATTATGCCTAATTTACTAAATTTCTATGCAATCAAATAATTGTAGAGTCACACCGCCCACTAGAAGCGACACTAACTTGAAGAACAGTAGAAAAATATATATAGTTCTTTTCTATTTTTTATGAATATGGTCGTAACATTCTGTACTACTAATATGGTCGTAACATTCTGTACTACTAATATGGTCGTAACATTCTGTACTACTAATATGGTCGTAACAATCTGTACTACTAATATGGTCGTAACATTCTGTATTACTAATATGGTCGTAACATTCTTTGCTTAAATGTAGAATTTGAGGAAACTGTAACCAAAATTTCATTTATTACTACTGGTCCCGAATAAAAATAACATTGACATTTTCCGAATTATTATAGCGTATTAATAACAAAGTTACTAACTCTGGATCTGCCTATCTTGTAGAAGGACCTATTCTACACTCAGAAAAGTCTTTTTAACGAAAAACGTCCATGTCCTTATTGTCTGCCTCGGAACTACTATCCCGAAAAAGAACACTTACGGCTTATCTACGCACCCAACGACGGCACAAGGTCAGTGATGAGCAAAAATGTTGAAATTCAAAATTCAATTTAAAATCAA